TAGATAGATAGATAGATAGATAGATAGATAGATAGATAGATAGATAGATAGATAGATAGATAGATAGATAGATAGATAGATAGATAGATAGATAGATAGATAGATAGATAGATGATAGATAGATAGATAGATAGATAGATAGATAGATAGATAGATAGATAGATAGATAGATAGATAGATAGATAGATAGATAGATAGATAGATAGATAGATAGATAGGTAGATAGATAGATAGATAGATAGATAGATAGATAGATAGATAGATAGATAGATAGATAGATAGATAGATAGATAGATAGATAGATAGATAGATAGATAGATAGATAGATAGATAGATAGATAGATAGATAGATAGATAGATAGATAGATAGATAGATAGATAGATAGATAGATAGATAGATAGATAGATAGATAGATAGATAGATAGATAGATAGATAGATAGATAGATAGATAGATAGATAGATAGATAGATAGATAGATAGATAGATAGATAGATAGATAGATAGATAGATAGATAGATAGATAGATAGATTAGATTAGATTAGATTAGATTAGATTAGATTAGATTAGATAGATAGATCGATAGATAGATAGATAGATAGATAGATAGATAGATAGATAGATAGATAGATAGATAGATAGATAGATAGATAGATAGATAGATAGATAGATAGATAGATAGATAGATAGATAGATAGATAGATAGATAGATAGATAGATAGATAGATAGATAGATAGATAGATAGATAGATAGATAGATAGATAGATAGATAGATAGATAGATAGATAGATAGATAGATAGATAGATAGATAGATAGATAGATAGATAGATCGATAGATAGATTAGATTGGATGGATGGATGGATGGATGGATGGATGGATGGATGGATGGATGGATGGATGGATGGATGGATGGATGGATGGATGGATGGATGGATGGATGGATGGATAGATAGATAGATAGATAGATAGATAGATAGATAGATAGATAGATAGATAGATAGATAGATAGATAGATAGATAGATAGATAGATAGATAGATAGATAGATAGATAGATAGATAGATAGATAGATAGATAGATAGATAGATAGATAGATTAGATTAGATTAGATTAGATTGGATGGATGGATGGATGGATGGATGGATGGATGGATGGATGGGTGGATGGATGGATGGATGGATGGATGGATGGATGGATGGATGGATGGATGGATGGATGGATGGATGGATGGATGGATGGATGGATGGATAGATAGATAGATAGATAGATAGATAGATAGATAGATAGATAGATAGATAGATAGATAGATAGATAGATAGATAGATAGATAGATAGATAGATAGATAGATAGATAGATAGATAGATAGATAGATAGATAGATAGATAGATAGATAGATAGATAGATAGATAGATAAATCTACTAATGTAGATAAGAAAAAAAAAACTAGCTTCTCTATACTTTTAGCTTTCACATTGTGATAGCTCTGTCCAAAGAAAGATAACCAACTAATACTTTTATCAGGGGACATAACCTCAACATGCAACACCGAGGTGTATTATTCCGTTACATTTCACCAGAGGGTTATTTCACATGCAACTTCCGTTTCCGCTCCAAGTTTTAGATTGTATGAGCTAGCAGAAGTAAACAGTTGACGTTGTCAATGCAAAAACTAGAAAGCTAGTTGACTTCTGGAGAGATACTAGAAAGCGATTAACTTATTTATTCCTACGAATTAAATTTTTTTTGTATGCTATTTTTAATATTAGAATTTAAATTCGACGCAACTATTATTGCGTTTGCAAGCAGAAGTAATTTGTCTAATCGCCACTTAAAAAAATTAAGAATTTTCCACCGTCAGTCAGTCACCACTGAGTGACTAAGTCAGGAACCGATTTTGTTATTTCTAATAGGAATTCTTATTGGAAGTTCGAACTTGTTGATCAGACTTAATGTGAAGTTCTGTTAACCTGTACTTTATTACGGATGCTTACTGGCTTAATGTTCAAAAATACCCAGCTTGAAACACAATTCGTATCATAACTAAAACTATCATGTCTGCACTGTTGTGACCACGATAAACTGCTGCTTCCGACTTCTGTTGACGTGGCGAAAATATAAACTTGTTTTAGAACTTTCCATCTGTGTATATAATAGTAACTTTGACCACCTGCTTGACTTAACTGAATGGAGAATGAAGTCAAAGTGGCGGTTTATGTTTGTAGGAGCAGCTCTATTTGTAATGATAGTTTCATACAAAATATTAGAACCAGAATTGTTTCGAAAGGGGCAGACGTCCTTTGTCGATGACAAAGAGCCTTTTGAATCAGATTTTGAACAGGGTCCAGTAATTGATCCACAAAATCATCATCGTAATCGATTTATTGTTGGGGAAGAAGAGGTTAACCAGCCTGGTGACTTACAAAGAACCATAAATAATGCTCCAGGGACAAACAATGTTTCTACAATGGAGGTACTTGAGTTAAATATCATTAAGTATTGGTCAGTATTAGTTGTGCTATATAGCAGGGCTTTTTTCTAGAAGCAAAAAGTGCCTGTACTCACCACAACATGTTTTTTTTTCTTTAAAGGGTGACAGTACTGCCTACAAAGTGTCTATTTAACTATTGGTGAATGAAAAATAATTTTGCTAATACTACATACTGTATTATTGTGTACTGCACCCAAAAAATCCCTGTTGTATAGTAAAGTATAGGACTCTTTTCATACTTTAGGAATTCCTGAGTGGGTTCCGAGGTCCCATTAAGGTGAAAACAAGAATAGACCCACTGCCTCCCCAACAAGCATGTTCTCAGAGACAACTAATTGGAGGCTACCTTTAGAGTCAGAGTACATCTGCCTAAAAGGCAAGGAACCAACAGTCTGCATACAGATAAGCAAGATGCACATGCAAAACTCAGGTCCTGGAACAAAGCCAGGGTTCAGGAATGGACGAACAACCACAAACAGGTTATAAACAGCATATTCATTCCAAAATTGAGCTACCAGTGCCAAACGTGGACATTATCTAAGACCCTCTGTGCAGAATCACCACTTGCGAGATGACATGGTTGGAAACGTCACCAACTGACCCATCTTAGATCACTTAATTAATAATACTGTCATACAAATTGTGGGAATGACAGCTTGTACTAGATTCATCAAAAAACATTAGATCAAGTGGTTTGGCCATCTCGTTAGGATGCAACATCAGATACCATGACAGGCACTATATCTCAGAAGATCAGCTACAAGAGCAAGAGGACAGCCACACAAAAATAGGAGTCGACAACATTCACAGCATGACAATAGTCAGTGCCAGCCAGCATGCACTGGGTCACAAATGCTTCTCCCCATGATACTTGACAGCAGAAGGGGTTTATAAAGATAGTAAAGTAAAGGACCATTTTCCTCGCCTTTCAGCCATATTGGGTGTATAGGGCTAGGCCTATATTTTATAGACCAACGACAAAAGATTGGTGATGTGGTCAGGCCGGCCACCTTTACTTCCCAGGAATGCACCTGGTACCCACTCAAGACGGGGTCAACCCAAAAGCCAAGGTCATTTTTGAAAAAAATCCTGCTCCGCCAGGAAACAAACCCATGACCTTCCAATCCACAGTTGAGCGTCTAGCTGCTACGCCACTGCGACTCCCTGGTTTATAAAGATGATCATGAGCATTTATAATCTGTAAATCTACTTTGGTTGATTGTGATAAATTATCAAACCTGGTGGTATTTTATTCATATCTTTATCTGTCTGTCTCATCTGCTGTTTTTTGTTTTGGATGTGAATACAAATAGCATTTATAAAATGAGGAACATCTTGTGCAGTAAATCCCTCTCATATGAGGTTAGAAAACACATTCTTGCATGCCAGTTCTAATGTATGACTGTAAAGGTTAGAAAACAGATTCTTGCATGCCAGTTCTAATGTATGACTGTAAAGGTTAGAAAACACATTCTTGCATGCCAGTTTTAATGTATGACTGTAAAGGTTAGAAAACACATTCTTGCATGCCAGTTTTAATGTATGACTGTAAAGGTTAGAAAACAGATTCTTGCATGCCAGTTTTAATGTATGACTGTAAATTCTAGAGAGCTAATCTTCTGTACATTCACCGGCTGTACACCTCAGATCTGTCATTTTACAGCTGACATTTGTTTGGAAAGCCAGAATGAGTCAATCAGATCTGTCATTTTACAGCTGACATTTGCTTGGACAGCCAGAATGAGTCAGTCAGATATTTCTTAGAGGCTAGAGCCCTAAGGCAACTTATCACAAACATCAGAAAGGGACACTCATCATTTTTTATATATGTTATTTGAGGAGGGAAACTAGAACTTGTGACTGCTGTTAAAAAAAAATGGTGGAAAGAGGATGATGACTTGAGAAGGTTTTTGACAGTCCCTTGTCATGACATCAAGGGGTATCAGTATGTAACTGCAGGTTGTGGAGAGGCATGGTTGTCACCCAATGATGATGTGTAAATACCTTTATTTCTATATGCTTAGCATTTTAACATCCATTTTCATTGTTTATCTGTATTTTGTTTCAGTGATATCATTGTGGATGTAATTAATTTAAAAAAATGTGCCTTCCATGTTATTTACCACATACCGAACAGGTGGTTACTAAAACTGGCAGAAAATGTAATAAATGTAAACAATCCCGCTGTGTAAACAAAAGAGAGAGTGTGTGCTAACTATGAAATGCTGTTGTAGTTATGTGACTGTCATGAACTTCCGACAGCGAAATGAACAGTGTGTCTAGAAAGACAGTGTGATTTGTTTAGTTCACTAGAAATAATTCCTTGTGTTTCATTATTTATTGATGAAACTATGGTAAAGCACCTGACGAGTACAACAAAATATGCCAGGCAGTAAATTGTACAATGTTGTGTCAGTATTTTTTAAATTCACTATAACAATGTTTAAAAATAAATGTCTCACCCCCACCCACAAATCTACATTAAATCCTTATTTGCTGTTTAAACCAGGTTATTAAGGCAATGATTGAGAGATTTACACCTCGTTATTCAGTCCTGCTTTCTGAGTCCCCTTGGGATGTTGCATCTCGTTGGGTGCAGTCAAGGCAGATCCATCCTTCTAATGCTGACGAATTGGGTAAGTGTCATCATGTTGATCGTCATCAGTTAATCAAGAAACATTGCAGGATAAAAAGTCTTCTTCTTCTTCGCGTTCACCATCTGTACACTCTGGCGGAAAGTTCTGGTTGCTCGTCCACTACTGAACTGCAGTCCTGCTCCAGAACCTGAGTGTTGCGTGTGCATCAGTTTTACAGATCTCATTCTCTTGAATACAGACTGTTGGTTCCTTGCCTCTCCGGCAGATGCACTCCGACTTCAAAGGAAGCTCCCCAATTAGTCGACTCTTACGACATGCTTTTGGGGAGGCAGTGGGTCTATTCTTGTTTTCCCCTCAATGGGGCTCCGGAACCCACACGGGGGGGGGGGTGGGTAATAAGTGAAACTATTATTTATGCATCAGATCAACCTTGGAGAGTCCTTGAAGCCGTCGAGGCAACATTAGAAATAAATACAGACACACTAACTTACACTTGTAGCATACAAAGGAATTAGGAAGATGAACCAGACCCAGGACCACCTGGTACCCACTCAAGGTTTTGCCAGGACCTGAACGCAGTTTTCCGATCCACAGCTGAGCATCTAGCCAAGACACCACAGTGGCTACTAGGATATATACTGTTCACTTTTGTGTGTGTATGATCTCTACAATGGACTTTGGCAGCAGTACATCCACTGTTGTCTGTGGCAATATTACTTGGTTAAGCCCCAGTCTCTTCCATGGTGAGGCCGTCACTGAGAGCCACACAGTTATAAGTTTCAGCAGCACTACCTCGGAAATCAAACCCGGGCATATTGGGGATTTATTTCCATTCTTCTAAAAGTCCAGCCTTGTGGTGTTGGTAGTCATGGCTATCCATAACATTCTATCTTATGTACTTTCAGTCAACTTTGACACAGATGATTCTCCATGACATGATGTAAAATTGTCCAGCATCTGTCCCTCAGTCTCCCTCTGCCTCTCTTCCCCTACAGCCTGGTCTGGTAGTCTTAGTTTCAGCTTCATAGCAAACGGGTCACCCCATCTTTGTTCCGCTCCTGTACCAACGAAAAACACACAGAATGTTTATCACAGTATTAGAATTGCAGTTCATCATTGATGGTAGCAGAAGTCGCCAACAGATCAGCAGTTGCCCACGCGATCAATTTTAATCACATACGGGCACCACAACACTGCATGACAGGCATCGCGCCATTTTCTGAATCTACAATTCACACCAACACAATGGTCACAGTCGAAAAAACATTCCAAATGCAATCCGCAGCTCACAGGGTCACACCATGCATTCAACTCAGAAGTTGGGCGACGAAACCATATCCAGTCTACAAATGGAGCAAAAATGCATCGGTCACCGTCCGGCAGAAGCAAAAAATTTGCTTCTGTTTCGAACAGTGCAGCTGCCTAATGTCCATTTTGACCGGAAGCCCTACAGCTTTCTAACTGTCGTTATGTACTTCAGTTTTCACCTTCCCATCCCATGACCAAAGAAGGTAGATTGTCTCTTTCTGATGTGGGCAATCAGTTCTCTTTGTGAGTCACTTTCTTTTAAGATGTCTTCATTACTCTTTTTATGTGTCCAGGGTATTCTCATCATTTGTCTATAAAACCACATCTCTCCAGCTTCCAAATAAGTTTACACTAATTTACCAACTGTCCATGATTCACTTCAGTATATCAAGATAGAATTTATATAGGTTTGAACAATTCTCTTTCTCGAGGACTTACAAATAAAAATTGCATAAAATATTCTTTATTTTGTAAAATGCTGCCTTACAAACGACCCCTATCTATCAGCTGTCAGTATTCGGAACTGACACCTCTCTGTTATCAATCTGTATGGCCTGAGGTTCACATTTTTTTGAATTTTTGATTACCTTTACTGTGTTAATTCATATGAGATGCCTGGTTTGAGATAGATGTGTGCGTCATCTTCTGCTGATCCTCTTGTACCTTGCGATGTTGAGATAAAGTAATAATAGCTGGAAACTGTCCTTTTGTTTGCTTTCTATGTGGGGGTTCAGGAACGTTGTTTAGTGCGTCTCACTTTGTGAGTTCCGGGGCCTTTGGGTGGGGTGGGGTGGGGTAGATCCATTGTTCCCTCAACAGGTTTGTCGTGAAAGTCGACTAATTGTGGGTGTTTCCTGGAACTTGTCCAGTAGTTCAGTAATGGATGAACAGTCAGAACTTTGGCCACAGTTCATAGCCCGTGAACGAGAAAAAGGAGAGTCTCTAGAACAACATTCTGTCTCTTCTCTGGTTGTTATGAGTGGTGTTATCCTCACAGCACTTCAGACACGCCACAGGTGCTCAGATCCCCCCTTCAGCATACAGTGTCCTGCAGTTCTTCTTCTTCTTCTTCGCATTCACCAGCTGTACACTCTGGCAGAAAGTTCTGGTTGCTCGTCCACTACTGAACTGCAGTCCTGCTTGTCCTGCAATTAATAGTGCCAGTCCTATGCAGGTTAACAATACGTCTTGAATGTCCGGTGTGCCTCTCATGCTTGGCTGTGGCGACCTTTTCTTCGAATTCTCATATTCTTAACAATGATGTGGACGCGCTGCTTCCAGAATCCTCGGATCATCCTATATCTTCAAGGGCATTAACAGTGTCAGTGCGATCCATAGGCTGGCCACCTGCTACTAAGACAGAACTGGTCAGTCTGTCAGTTCTTTTGTTGCCAACAACACCTGCATACCCTAGGCCGAAGGTAACTGCATGCACAGGGGAGTTTCGCAATGACTCCTGTCTGCGTAATGACCCAGCCTCAACCCGCGGGGTCACACTGATAGTATCACTCAGCACACACAAGTTGGAATAGGTATGTGATTCTGGCCAACATAAAATCTTGCGTCACTGCCATCACCTCCTTGGTCATGCTGCTAGCTTCCTGGCCTGTTCTGCCTGCAGAGCCAGCTGTGAATGCCCATGCACTTCTGTGCTCTGACGCCCTTCTTCTGCATCTACTAATGCCAGTCAGTACATTACATGTTGTTTATTGTGCTGTATCAGTGAATTTAGAGTAACCCAGCCGTTTTGAAAGAGGCAAGTGCTCTAGCACAACTTGTCACAAACATCAGAAAGTGATAGTCATCATTTTTTGGTCATGTTATGAGAAGAGGGAAAATGGAACATGTTGTGACCACTGGAAAGAGAGTCAGAGGAAGACAGTGCAAGATGATGATTATCGACAGCCTTTTGTAATGGCATGAAGGGGTGTCAACACACAAACTGATACAAGCTGTTGCCAATCGCAGATTGTGGAGAGGCATGATGGTCCTCGCTAGTCTGCAAGGCACATGGTGATGATGATCAGTGGCCTTGAAGGTTTCCCAGCAATTTAATTATGTGTATAATAAAAACTAAGGGAGTGGGTTTGCCCGAAATAACATATTGTCCCACATTTCAATCTGCGAGGTTAAAGATACCAGACACAATGCTGAAAGGAAATGCCGCCATTGTGAGTTTAAACTAGACAAAGGGGGAATATCACATAGCAGACGGGGGTAGCAGGACAAGTGAAGGACATGCAAACTTTGCGTGAAGGTAGAGGGCGGAATTTACAGCTCGCTTTTCAGGCAGAAGAGTTCAAGAAGCCATCGGTGCCTTCTACATGACCACCAGCAGCATGAGGATGGGGGTGATAGCGGTGACACAGGCTTTCTTGTGGCTAGAATCACGGGAGTACTCCGGCATGTGTGTGCAGAATTATTCTGTGAGCATGATCCAGCGTGTCGAGTGGGCTCGGTCATTGCAAAACTCTCCCGTCTGTGCATTTACCTTCCTATTTGTCCCAGGGGATGCAGGTGTTGTTGGTAATGAAAGAACTGATAGACTGGCAGGTTCCACGTTAATTGAAAATGGCCCGCCTATGAATCACGCAGACACTGTTAATGCCCTTAGAGAGAGAGATAGCGCTTTCTGAGGTTTTTGGAAGCAACCTGTCCACTCACTGTTAAAAATACGAGAATTGAGAGTAAAGATCGGCACAGCCAAGCGAGACGCTGATAAACATGTTGATGGTGGGGGGGGGGGGGGGGGGGGTCTGAGCACATATGGATGTGTCCGGAGTGCTGTAAAGATAGTGCAACTCATAACTCAGATAAAGGGCTCTGAATGTTTGATTAGAGTTGACCCAGGCTTCTTTTTCTATTTTTCTTCTCCTGGAAAGTACATCGCGGCGTCATGGCAGGAAAAGATCGCTGGAACGGGCCTTTCTGTTCGCTTGGTGTAAATTACCTCTCACTGTCTCTGATATTAATGCGGTCTGTCTTTGTTCTTTCTGTATCCAGCAATTATTTGTATTCTTTAAGGGCCCTCGTCACGTGGACCCAGCCAAAATGGGTACCCGGCAGTGTCCTGGGAAGTAAGGGCGGCCAGAGTGATGTTAACTACCACATCACTCCAGGGCCCTCTTAACGGCTTTATTGATCCCCGGAGACAACCACACTCACAGAAATGAAATGTAAATGATCGATAATATTTAAACATATTTATTTTATTTGCGCTTCTCTCTCTCTCTCTCTCTCACTCACTCTCACTCTATCTCACTCTCTCTCAATATCTCACTCTCTCTCACTCTCTCTCACTCTCTCTCTCTCACTCTCTCTCTCTCACACACTCTCTCTCTCTCTCACTCTCTCTCTCTCTCTCACTCTCTCTCTCACACACTCTCTCTCTCTCTTACTCTCTCTCACTATCTCACTCTCTCTCTCTCTCTCTCTCTCTCTCTCTGTGTGTGTGTGTGTGTTATCTCTCTTGTCACCCCCTCCCCCTCTATATTTCTCGAGGATACTTTATGGAGTTTTGTTTTTTAATTGTGTCTTCTTCTGGACAAATATTTTTTTAAAGGCATATAAAAATGCAGTTCGGCACACTTAAGTCCCGAAGGGCGAGCAGACGGAAGATTTGCTGTGCTGTGGGGAGGGGGGCGAATGCTTGCTCAGTGTCTGGTCCTTAGGCAGTAATCTCTCTCTCTGTCTCTCTCTCTCTCTCTCTCTCTCTCTTCTCTCTCTCTCTC